CACCGGGCAACTGACTTCTCTCCTGCAAAGTAGGAATCGTTCTTGCCAAGTGGGAATCGTAGCCTCAGCCCCCCACCCCCCCCCCCCCACCCCCATGATGCCTGGGCAGATCCCAGCATGGAAAACTGTCTAAGCTGACATTATGCTGTTCCAGCCCCATCTGACAGTTGGGGAAACTGAGGCTCAGAGAGAACTGGGGGATGGCCTGGAGTCACACAGCCAGCGAGGGGCAAAGCAAGGCCATGGATGGTCTCCCCACTGCCCTGGAGTGAGGGCTGCAGCTGGACAATCAGTCCTGCTTCCAACCCTTGCTACACACCTACTGTATACCTGTCCAGCCTCTGCCGGGTCCATACACATTTATCAAAGTAGCAAGGCGAGATGGCTAAGCCTCTCTGCGTGAATCCAAATCCTGGCCGTGTGCCCTCAGACCAACTACCTAACCTCCCTGAGCCTCATCTTGCATCTGTAAATCTGTATTTAGTTTGGGCTTGAATAGCCCCTGGTACGTAGTAAGAATTCAATAAATGGGAGATCTGAGGATGATGATTATTTTTATACACTATTCTCTCCACACAAGTCCCTTCTGTGCCTGATGAACTCCTACTCATACATCAAGGCCCCAACTCCAATGTCCCCTCCTCCAGGAAGCCCTTCTGGCCTCTTCGGACAGGTTCTCATCACCTCCTTGGACCCCTCTTGCCACAGGTCCCTCTCCCTCTGATATCCAGGACCTGGAGCAGTTGGGGGAGCTTGTCAAGAGAGACAGGGCTTTGCTGACCCTCAAAGGACTAAGGGGACTGGTAGGAAATGCTGGGGTGGCCAGTCACACCCTGTCCTGATCCTGTTGTCAGAAATCCCTTGTGTTACCCTTGGGCGAGTCTACCTCCCCCTACACCTGATCCTCCACTCTGAATACCCCCCAATTTTCCCAACGTTTCTCAGATTTCTTTGTCCAACAAGTATGTACTTTGCACCTGTTATAGGCCCGACCCTAACAGGATAAAATAATTTATGCAACAAGCATGTATTGCATACAGTCTGCTGGAATAATAATGCTTATTTGTCTGCAAGCATCTATTGAGTGCCGGCTGTGTGCAAACATTTACTGAGAACTGACTGTCACAGGCTCTGGGAAGAGAGACCACAGGAAGGCCAGGGAAAGAGAAAAGTGGCCCCCACCCCTCCCTTCAGGCTTGTCCCCTCGGGTTCAGTATGTGGGCTCTGGACCAGACTATTTGGGCTCAGACTGGCCGTGAGACCTGGGGCAAGCCCCTTCCCCTCTCTGACCCTGTTTCCCACTCTGTAAAATGAAACCCAACAATCAGAGGTATTTGCAGCTCAACATCTACTTTCTTTAGCAAGGGAAACTGAGGCACAGAGAGGAGCCTAGACTTGCCTGTGCCTTTTGCTCTCCAAGCAAGACTGAGATGGGACTCAAGCTCCCGACCCCGCTCCCAGGCCAGGGCGTTTTTCCTGTAGATCCAGAGAGGGACACAGCTGTGAAGCCACACAGCACTGGGCAGGACTCTGGAGCCCTCCAGGTTGCAGAGAGCCAGCCCCTTGGTGCCCGGCCTCCCTGTCTTCCTTCCGCCTCCCTGGGCCAGGCCACCAGGCTCTGGCCCTCCCTTCAGGTCTCCTGGGGCTGCTGAGTTGGTGACGCGGCCCAAGTAACATCAGAAGGAAGGGAAAGCCGGGAGGGACCAACGCCGCCTCTGTCACCCCACTGCCTCGCCCGGCGTCCCCCGCCCTGTGCCCGGCGTTGGCAGAGGGTGTCCTCCGGCACTTCCGCCTGGCTCTGTCCACCATGTGGCCACAAATGGCTTCCGGGGCTTGCCTGTCCCTGTCTGTGCGGGCACATGTGGCTCCCGGAGCTCCCCCGTCTGGCTCGGCCCGCGTCCCGCCTGCCAGGAAGGCGGGGGAGAGGCCTTGGCTGGGCTGCTGGAGAAGCCAAGAATTTGCTCCAAATGTAAACAGCGAGTTATTTTAAGTCTGCCCCCCAGCCCCGGGGTGGCGTTGACACATTTGACACTGGAGGGGACCGGGACGGGGCGGGGGGCGAGGCTGTGCGTGTGGGTATTTTTAACCTCGTTTCTCACCTCCGTGGAACCACCTGGGGTTTGGTCGGTGCCGAGTGGCGCTCCTGGGGGGCCTGGTGGCACCGAGGGCCGTGCAGGGCGCCGGGCTGGCAGCAGGCATGCGCGGCCAGGCCACTTGGCACGGCCGCGTCCTGTTGGCAACGCGGCAT